AAAGATCCCTTACATGTAAGTGGACCTACATGAAAATTTTTAAAGGAATATAATTCTAATGTGTGGATTATAACTCAATGTAAAGAAGATCAGAATCCTCACAACTGGACCATCACAATAAATGGAAAAATGGAAAAAAGTCTGAAGTTGTTAAGGATTTCCTCTTATCTAGATTCACAATCAATGCTCATGGAAGCAGCAGTCAAAGAAACAGAGGATGCATTTCACTAGGTAAATCTGATGCACAAGACTTTTTTAAAGTGTTGAAAAACAATGATGTTACTTTGAGGACTAAGATGTACCTGACCCACACCATGGTATTTTCAATAGCATTATATGCATATGAAAACTAGACATTTAATAAAGAAGACTGAAGAAAAATTGATGCACTTGACCTATGGTGTTGGTGAGAGTATAGAAAGCATTGGGCATGGGGCAAATAGATCAGTCCAGGATGAAGTACAGCCAGAACGCTCCTTAGAGGCAAGGATAGTGAGAGCTTATTCCTCCAACATACTTTGGACTTGTTATCAGGAGAGACCAGTCCCTGGAGAAGGACATCATTCTTTTTAAAGTAAAGGGGCAGTGAAAATGAGAAAGACTCTTGATGTCCTCTAGCTAGATCACATGACAAATGGAAGTGGAATCCAAGCAATTTAAGTGACATCGTGTGAAGAAAAGGAAAGGGAGGTGCATGCCACTTAGGGAAGTGTCTTGAACAATTGTTGGCAGTTCACACCCATCAGCTGCTCACCAGAGGGAAAGGTAAAGCTGACTGCTTCCATAAAGACTGATAGTCTCAGAAATCCTAAGGATTAGTTATACTCTGTCATACAGAGTTGTCACTGTGAATCAGAATCCACTTGCTGGCAGGGCAAGGGTTAATTAATAAATAGAAGCCACGGTGGTAGGTGGTTAAACACTCAACTGCTACCCAAACTGAACCCCACTAGCTACCCTTCAGGAAAAAACAAGGCTGTCTGCTCCCATGAATATTTTTTGCCTCACAAACCCTTTAGAGGGTTGCTATGAATCAGAGTAGACTTTGTGGCAGTAGGTTTTGGTTTGCCCAATATTGGCCCATGGGAGTGTTGGCTTATAAGTTAAATAAGGCTTGACCTTAGCTCAATAAAAAGGAAATTTTATAAGCAATGTTCAAGTCATTGTGTTTTTATGGTAAGCAGGCTTTTCTTTTCACTATCAGTCTTATTCCCAGGAGTTAATTCATGTGAGTTCTGCATATTTATGTTGATATTATTATCTGTGAAAATGGATCTTTAACCATCCTCACTGGAGGCCAGTTCTGAGCCTGACTCATGCCCTACACCACTGCTGATCCTTCCTTTTATTGAACATCCGGGGATGGCAAGCGCTGTGCTCTGCACTGGGCATACATAGAAGAGCCATAGCCCAGGGGCAAGTCATGACAAAGACAGGCAGCCTTGATGAGACGAGGTGAACATGGGGTACAAAGAGAACATTGGGGCACCTCACTCAGCTCAACATGAGAGACTTTGTAGAAGCTTCTGGAAGTAGCCATGCACAACACTCTTTCACACCTGGGAAACCTTACATTGCAATCAGTGGTTCTTAACTGGGGTGATTTATCCCACTGAGGCAATATCTGGAGACATTTCTGAAAGTCACATCTGGACAAGTGCCACTCCCATCTAATGAATAGAGTTCAAGAATGCTACTAAATAGTTCACAAAACCCAGAACATCCCCCATATCCCCCATTCCAGGAAAGAATTAAGCAGCCTAAAATGTCAGTAGTGTGGAGATTGAGAAACCATGAGTCATAACATGCCCGTGTACTCATCTGGCAGCTCTTTTCTGATCCAAACTCTTTTACCTCTTTGTTCCCTTGCAATCTGCCATTGTTCCTGGTACAGAATAACCCAATTCCCTCAAGCCACTTCCGACTCATAGCGACCCTACAGGACTGCTCTTGTGGGTTTCCTTAGGGGAGCAGAAATCTCATCTTTCTCCCGATGAGAGGCTGGTGGGTTGGAACTTCTGATCTTGCAATGAGTAGCCTACTGTGACACCAAGAATCCAAACTCACTGCCATCCAAACTCAATTGCTGGTGGTCTGGAAATGCTGGCCTTGTAGAATGCAGCCCAACATGTAACCCCTATGCCACCAGGACTCCTTACAGAGTGGTTGATGTTGTTCTTGTCAATAACCATCCAGTCAATTCCCACTCTTAGCAGCCATGTGCACAACCGAGCAAACACAGCCCAGTCCTCCACTAGCCTCCCAATTGCTCCTACGCCTGAGCCTATGGTGTCAGCCACTGTGCCAGTCCATCTCCTTGAGGGCCTTCCTCTTTTCACTGCCCCTCCTCTTTACCTAGCACAATGTCCTTCTCCAGGGACTGGCCTCTCCTGACAGCATGCCCAAAGTAGAGAGTAGGTAGTAGTAAATTTGTATTTGGTTTAAAAAGTGTACGTAGCCCCAGTGGATCAGGATAATTTCCTGGTGCTAGTCATAGTTTGTTGTGGAACATTAAAAAAAGAAAAAGAAAAAGTCTCTTGCACAAGATGCACCAAAAACACAAAGCAGAATCTGGTTTCCCCAGAGAGAAAGTGCAGGGTTGCTGAGAAGGACCCACTCCTAGGACTGCAACACTGAACACTGAGGCAAACAGCACAAGGCCCCTGTGTTGTTGTCGGTTATGCTGCCTAATCCTGAGAGCTACCTTCGTGATTGTTGGTGTGTCTGAGCCCATGTTATGGCTGTTGTGTCACTCTGTCCCATTGAGGGTTCCCTTGGTTTTGCTGGCATGACGTCCCATCCTAATGATTGATGTTTCCTGATGAAATGCGCAAGATAAACAGGGCAAAGCCTTGGCACCCTTGCTTCTGAGACGCATGCTGAGTGTCTTCCTTGTATGTCAGATCTGTTCGTTCTTCTGGATGCCCGTGGTGTAGGCAATATTTGTCATCAGCACCACAGTTCCAAATGCATCAAGTCGTCTTCTGACTCCTTTTCCTTTGTCTAGTATTTGGATCAATGTGAAGCGATTTAAAAGACTATGGTTTGGGCCAAACACACAAGACCCATTGCAGACCCAGAACCCAGAGAACCTCACCTGTGTCCACCACCAGGGGAGCAAGTGGGTGGAGCGAGAACACACAAGACTCAGAGTTGAGGATGGAACATGAACATGGAAAAACTCTTCCAGCACTGAGCCTCTGCAAGATAACCTACTGTCACGAGATAAGCCTAGAGGAATTTAAAACTGGTAGTTCAACAAAGGAAATCATAGCAATAACATCCAATTTCCCTCAACTCCTAGCTACATTGACTCACAGCCTCCCCGACACACACACACATATATACACTCACTCACGAACAATAGAAGAGTATGCCCTTCCCAGGCACAAACACTGGTGTTCAATGTTCCCCAGAGGATCATAAGGAGCATCAAATCTCAGCAGATAAGAGTCAGATAACATGGCCACAGGCCATGTTGGCCTCTTAAAGGTGGTTCCCAAAAAGAGTAACACTGAGATTCTCCTATTGAGCGAGGTTCAAAGGCATCGACATCAATCTGATGCCTTCGTTATCCTCTTCCCCATCATCTCTTCTTGAGACTCTGGTTTGATTCCCAGCCAGAGCACTACAAGCACAGCCACATCGATCTCTCCACCACCTGTCTGGCATGGGTGTTTCTGCCATGCTGAACAGGCTTCCATGGACTTTTCAGATCAAGACAGATGAGCAAGAAAGGCCTGGAAATCCACTTCTGATATGCAGTCAATGAAACCTTAGTCTCATGAGCAACTAGCTGTGGGGCTGGCAAGGAACAGCACAGCACGTTGCTCCCTGCTACATGGGACCACCAGGAATCTGGGGCTGACTCAACTATAGCTGACAACCACAGCGATGGTCAGCCGTAGAATAAGTCCAGGGAATCTAACCAGAAAGATTAGCAAGATGTTCAATGTTTCCATAGCAACAGTTTAAGAGCTGACGATCTCACCTGGTGTTTTACAGGAGGACAAAGTCATGTCAGAGGACACCAGCAGCCAACATACCAAAGGAGAAGCCATGTCCCCCAGAGTTGGGAACACAAAGATAGGTATGTCTGCGTGCACCCAATATCTTCTTGCGCTTTTGGTGGTGGTTGTGGGTCTTCCTTAAACAAGGTGATCTTGTGAATGACCCTTCAGGAAGTGACAACCTAATTTTAGATGGAGCCCTACCCACCTTGTGCCCTAACCTTCCCTTCATGATGAAGAAATTGATTGTGAAAGCCCATACTTGGGTCTGCAGCTTCTAAAGGGAACTCTTCCTGGGGGAAACGATGGATTGCATGAAACATATAACAATGTGACTTTTCTAAGCAGCCCTCAAGAAAAATCTCAACAAGATAGGAATCTAATTTTAAAGTTTTGATTAATTAACATGAAAACAGATTTTCAGGCTCTAGGCAAAGCAACCTAATTTGGAGATGAAAATGCAGGTAGGAGCCGAAGGGAAATAAATGATCGATTTCAGTAGTGCTGGGAGCAGCGTGGAGGGCAGCCAAAGACATCTAATGGGCTGGTGTCCATTCTAACGTCTCTCGCCATTTTCCCCTCTGCCTCATCTCTTCTTACAACATCTAGTGAGGGAAGCATGGCAATCCTGTGAAGTGCATTTCCCAGTTATTGAAGCATGTGGACTGAACCATTTGTGTGTGTGTCTAAAACAATTGTATTACCTAATGTCTCACTAGCACCACATGTGTTTTAATTGGGAGAGCTATAAACAGTCCCTGGAGAAGGATGTCCTGCTTGGTAAAGTCGAGGGCCAGCAAAGAAAGAGGAAGGCCCTCAATGAAGTGGTTGACACAGTGGCTGCAACAGCGGGCTCAGGCATAGGAACAATTATGAGGATGGCGCAGAAAACATGCAGTGTTTCCTTCTGTTGTGCGTAGGGTCGCTATGGGTTGGAGCTGACTCAATGGCGCCTCACAACAATCCTAACAGTCAAGGTACAGACAAGATACAGATGGAACACAACTGGAATCAGGGCAGTCTATTTGAAAAGGAATGATTTACCAAGGTATGAGAAGAACGAGAGAAGAACTTGAGGGAGGGCAAGAAGAACTTGAGGGAGGCTAACAATCACCACCCCTAAATCCTAAAAGATGATAGAAAAATCACTAAAAGGCAGCCATGAGTCCTGTAAAGCATGCCACCCCTGAGAGGAGACACTTCCAAGTACCCACCATCCTTCTCCTCTTTCTTTCTCCTGCCTGCCCCGATTCCCCACTGGGCTTCCCACTCGGAAACCCAACCAGAATCCGGAGGCCAGGCCAGGCTCTAAGAGTGGAGAAGGGTGGACAGGAAGAGGCAAGGGAAGGTCTACCTGGACAGGCCAAAGAAGATCCCCGTCCAGGAAGCATGGAAGAAAGAGAGAGGAGAGTCAATGAGAACAAA